ATACACCTAGATGTGCCTCCACCAACTCTGAAACATCACAATGCTTTAGTTTATTAGATACATAGTATATCTTAAATCTCTCAAACATCATTGTATTTCTTTCCAAATATATGTTGCTGCATTTCGTTGCAGGATAAGAACAATTTGACAGCCTCAAATCCTCACACATACACACACTAATTTACAATTCCAATTCCTTAATGTAATTCTGGCATATTTCCTTTCATATTTTCCACAAATGTAAGGACTTCAGGACCAACGTTGATTTGAACTAGCACAGTCCAATGACAAGCAATGAGTGAAATCTTAACTCTGTTTGTAAGGGTGTATTATATGAAATCAACTGGCAAAACCACACCTGCACAAAGAAGGCACTGAAAGACCACTTCCAGCCCCTGGAAGTCCCTAAGAATGCTACGCTGCTGGGCCAGGTCATCTTGGGAGGCTCCTCTGGGTTTGGGCAGGGTCTGCTGGTGAACACCTGGGCTGGGGAGGTTCCGGAGATAGAGGGTGAGCAAGAAGAGAGCATTTATATGGGGGCCAGATGAACCCTCCAATCACACCATGCGTCCATCTAAGCCTGTTCATCTGTGTCATGCTCCCACAGCCAAGTACATGACCACCTTCACTGAATTTGGCTGCCTGCCCGTCAGCACCCTGTACCACACCGAGAAAACCGGATGGGTGGTTTTGAGGTGAGTCTGGTCATGAACACTCATGCCTGTGAGCTGCCAAGCCAGATGGGCACGTGATTGACAGCCGTCAGCATCCCCATTTATCTGTTAATCACTGCGACCGGAGAGTGAGCGCAAGAGACAGTCAGAAAGAGAGAGAAAAATGGGGAGGAAAGAAATGAGTTCATTTCTGTGAATCGGACTGCGCAATCTCATGCATCACATCCACTCACTAGGAGTAAAGGGTAGATTGTGTCTCTTGGCATGTCTTATGTGCAGATGCCTGTTGTGTCACTGTGTACACTGTGTTCTAATGGTACAGAGCAGTGCTTATGATCCGGAGGTTGCTGGTTTAATTCCCAGGTGTTCTGTACCTTTAAGGAACAGCGTCAGTAAATATCCAGCTGCAAATTAACAGGTTATAATAAATTATAATTTAATATTATATGTTAAATTATATAATTTAGATATCATTACAACATAATAGATTAACAATATGTACACTACAAACCGGCTAAGTTGCTCAGGATAAGGGTCTCTGAATGTAATATTTCACAGGCACTTGGTAACTTCTTTTCCTCTAATTCCCAGCTATTTCAACATTCTGATTGGAATTGACGATCCCCAGGTCTTCTTCCCTCCTCCATTTTGTCAATCAGCAGAGCTGGCGGGGACCACTGACTTCTTCGGTGCCTTCTTTTGAAAAGAAGGTACAGCTGGCAAGAACTTCAGATGCGTTCAAATCAGCACACACCGACCTGATTCATTCTCCAATCACGAGTTCTCGTCCGAGTGCCTGAAATCTTATACACCAATGCATTCATTGTGCTCACCGTCTACTCTTACAGATTTTTATTTTGTATTTAATTTGATTTTGACTGGATGCAGAAAACTACAACAGAAATTTGGCCTAATGCATCTAACAACAGTGCACTTCAGCTTTAACTGTTGTTAACTTGTAAGGTTTCTTTAGTCCCTTACACAACTTTTTCCATTTTTAAGTGACCAACAGATCCGTAACATTGTTTAAAAGTTAAATTTGCTCAGATTCATTGGTTAACAACAAACTGCATTGTAGTGAGGTCACATAAAGTCCTGTATTGACTCAAAATGTTAAGCAAAATAGAGTGACTACTATAGGTATGCTGGTGGAGATTACATTCCTTGAAAATGTGTAAGAGATTCTTAACTGATTGTACTTGTGCTAATTAAATAATTTTAAAAAGTCAAGCAACATGGTTTCTCCATTCTGTGACAGGTTTCATACAGATCTGGGATTCATCATATTCCATTCAATCCTGAAATCCATAAAAAATTCACATTCAAACAAATTTCCAATAGCCCTACAAGAAGAGAAACTGAAGGCAAACACTGCAAGACACCCACCTCCAGAAAAGTTGTGGCCATTTTGAAATTTACAAAATGTATTTATTGCTCATCAATGCTAAAAAATAAATAATTTGTGATAATTTTCAGTGTTGTTGCAGCATTAATATTACACCTATTATGAACAAATTGCACATCTGAAAAATTCAAAAATGTGATGAAAACTGTATCCGTTACACTACCTGTACATGAGGCAGGCAACTTCACACACATTCAGGACGAAGGCCTCCAAGCATATCCACCACTTACGAATTTAATGCTCTTGAGTTCAAGGGGAACTACAGCCGTTTCCACTGAGCAAAGCAGCTGCTTTCAACTTTCAGCAAGTGTTCCTTTTTTAGTTATTTAAATACACAGATGCAGTAATCCTGAAGTCAAGTGGAACTCACCAAATAACTCCTCCTGGTGCTATCTGAAGATGATCAAGAAGCAGAACATGTGGTACTCTTTTTTATTTTTGATTTTAAAAAATGTGTCAGTGAGCTCTACTGGTACAAGGACTACATAGAAGTACTGTCACTGCCATTTAACACTGACAGGCTGATGGTGATGTCAATGTGCTCTCGAAGGCGGGGTTATCAAGTAACAGTAATAACAAACTCCCCTCAAAACCCCAACTTCCTGGACCCCAATCCCTGCTGCCCTTTCCCCCAGACCCCCACTCTCCCCCTCCAGCCACAACATCCTGGCATCTGGGTCTTCATCTGAAAACTGGAGTAGACACCCCGACTGTCTTAACACCCCCAGGCACTGTCTCAAAATCTGGCCCGCCTTTGCCCGACCCTCCCTCGACCTCAGCAGGGCATCGGTAGTGCCCTTATCTATGATCAAGTCCAAGCTTCCGAGGTCAAACTGGGTCTGGAGTACACTGCAGTCCATTTCTAGGAAAGTCAGGCTGGAAGATGGGTGCCCCGGCTGTACGGGTCTGCTTTTCGACTGTTCTTTCAAAAGGCGCACAGCAACAGGTGAGATGTCCGCGCAGGTGACGTGCACCGGCCACGGAGAGTGACGGAAAATGCCGGGTCCCAGGGCCGACGTGCCGCAGCCCATGTCCAGAACGCGTCCCGCGGCGTCGGAGCTTTGCTGCGGCTGCAGCAAGGGCAGGATCAGGTCCCGGACAGCGTCAAAGCCGAAGAACCACTCAAAGTTCTTAAAGTTCCGCACACCGTTGTTCTCCTGGTAAAATCTGTCCCACGTTTCTTTTTTGTCCATGTTGTTGATTAGGTCTGCTGGGGAAAGAAAAGGCAGACGTGCTGACTAAGTCGGCATGCAATCGCTAGCGAAGGAACATTGATAATAACTAGCTAGTTTGACTAGCTGCATTATTTCCATGCTAGCTAGGTGGGGATATTCGCACTGGGTAACTACTAGCTAGACTACCTTGCTACATTTGTCTGAAAACACTTCTTGGTCAGCTGATAATAGCATGCTAATTATTCACTTGATACGCTTAACAAGCAGCAGACAAAAACTCACGACAGAAGCCAACATACCTGTCATACTATTATGGTGTCGACACGCCGGTGCGACAGTGGAGCGTGTTAGCGTCGGCAATCTTGTGAGAGCCAGTCTGTTAAAGGCCACCGCCATGTTTCTTTTCTCTACGGAGAGCGAGCTGGGACCGTTCCAGCCACACCGCAAGAATCTATTTGAATCGTGCGCTTCCGAATGTCTTCGGAAATTTCCGCCTAATGTTCGGACCACAGGTCGGTTCTCGCTGGTTTAGGTTGACTTTTCGCTTTGTGGCTCAAATTTTTTGCTCTGGGACTCCAAACTAAAATCTCCCTGACAGACTGTAGAACTGAATGTGTAGGAAACAAAATTACTGAATTCAAGCTATCACCTAATGATGAACCATGCAATCCTATATTATCAGTTAGCGAGTTGCTTCAGTTGACAATTTTAGTTTACATTATAAATGCAGTAATTTTATAGGCTGAAATAGTCTGAATAATGTATTTTGCTAGGGCACAGTGGAGATCAAAAAAGCTGTACTAGGTACTAATGCACTTTAATTTCACAACCCAGAACATGAGAACCATTTTGGGTCCCAGACCACAATTTATGAACAAACTTTTTAGCTTGTGAGCTGTCATCCAAGACTGCTACTCTTAGGCAAGTACATGACAAGCAGACGAAGAAGGAAAAGACACCAAGATGCTGAGCAGAGACATATGCAGACAAACTCAACTAACAGGACAGGACAGACATCTCCACATGGGTAGGGGACTCACATTAACAAAGAACACATTCAGATTTGTCCAATACCATTTAAGTCCTTTTAATAAAACACATGAATCGTAGTGTAACAAAGGAAAAATAAACTAACAAAAAAATCAAGTCAATACCATTTACAACCACAAAAAAACATTAACAAAAAAACTGTACAACTCTAAACGCCTGGAGTCACTGCTATTTTTTTTAAACATTTTTATTATTTCAGTTTTTGTGATGAGGGACAATGGGAGGCTCTAAGGGACTGTATGTTGTGTTGCTTTTAAATACCATACTGTCACTTTTTTTTGTGTGTACACAGATGTATGCATCCTCATGGCTCTTTTCGTATTCAAAAGTAGTAGCAGTAGATGGCAGACAGGGCGGCGCTATTTGTAAAGAATGTCGTAATGGCCCGGTCTGTAGAGGAGGAATATGCGGGGATCGCTGCCTTCTGGGAAGACGTGATGGTTGACTGTGCCTCCCTCGCCTCTGTCCATGTACTCCACCAGTATGGAGACATTGAGCGCCTTGGCCAGGGCGATGATGTGGATGTGATCGCTCTCTTTCGACATGGGCTCCACCTCCTACAGCAGGGAGAGAAAGACATTACATTTTTTTTTTAAACATTACATTATTGGCATTTAGCAGACACTCTTATCCAGAGCGGTTACAGTGTTTTTACAATGTTATCCATTTATACAGCTGGATATTCACTGAATCAATTCCCAGCGGGGAATCGAACCGGCAACCTTTCAGTTACCAGTCAAGCTCCTTAACCACTAAGCTACACTGACACCCAGGTACAGACGCTCCAGGTACAGACATGCCAACTCGTCTGTCTACAGTGCTGTCCTCGCCAACGCGAGGCCTAAAAGGTTCTGCCGAATCCCACACCCTTATGAAGCGTGCTCATCGATATTCACGAGCAGTGAGGGGAGGAGCACATTTCCATTTAGAATGATGATCAGTTCCATTACATTACATGATGATCATGTACAACATCGGTGAGGGTGCCTTGAAACAGAATTGGAAGAATGTGACAACCCATGCGCTTTATCACTGATAACATACGGCAGGGAATTTTCTACCATTTGAAGTATTCACACCACCTAATCAACACCCATTAAAATACAAATACCATACAATATTAAACTAACACTGAGAATATTAAATTTAATATTCTTGTTTTGGCTCCCAGTGGGGACACTCCTCCCAGCCATTACACCTGTCTGTACTGCCCCCCAGTGGTGGAATGAATGTCCCACAAGGTCAGGTCGACAGAATGACTGGCCATTTTCCAATGCAGGCTCAAGACCCACCTCTACAGACTACATCTCAGTTCCCCTTCAATCCCCACCATGTAGCACCTGCTACTTGTACTACTTGCATTCTTCCTTACTTATCTACTTGTATTATTGCCATGAGTAATGGAATTTGATTTAGTGGCCCATGTGATGTATGGTAGTGTATGCATTTAATGATTTCCTATAGTCTTAGTGTTGTGCTAAGCTGTCTTAGTTTCAGCTTAGCGCAAGTTTAGTTGTGGTGATGCTTGAATGGTGTTGTGCATGCACTTGCTGGTCTGGGAGTGTTGTTAACCAGGTCTGGCACTGTTGCTCATATAACTTGGATGGAAACACTTCTGTTCTCTTGTGCTGGAAGTCGCTCTGGATAAGAGCGTCTGCTAAATGCACGTAATGTAATGTAACGCTACTGAACTGAGCCAAAAGGAAAAACTACATCATATTCATACATTTGTCCAAACTGAAACGAGCCGAACGGAACACCCGGGTCTCCTGCGAATCCGCCGATCTGCTCTCACCTGCTGGCAGAACTCTTTGATGGAGCGCCCCCCCTCGATGAAGTGCTGGAAGAAGGCATGTTCCCGCTGCAGGTAGCCAGAGGTGAGCAGCCGCAGGTACACCACCACGTAGTCCGACACGCTCTGGTCATTAAAGGAGCCCAGCAGGTCCCCCAGGGAAGGCTGCTTTTCACACATTTCAATGAGGTCCATGAACTGGAGGGAGAGAGAGAAGAGGGAGGGAGGGGGAGGAGTGGGGGTTGAGAAAGAGACAGAGTGAGGGAGTGAAGGAGAAGGAGGGGAAGAGAGGAGGAGAGAAGGGAAGAGGGAGGGGAAGGAGGAGTGAAGGACAGGGAGAGAGGGAGGGGGAGAGAGAGGGAGAAAAGGAGAAAGATGGGAAGACAGAGGGGGCAAAAGAGAGAGTGAGGGAGTGAAGGAGAAGGAGGAGGAGATGGGGAGAATGGAAAAGGAGGGAGGGAGAAGGAAAGAGAGGAGTGAAGGACAGGGAGATGGAGGGGGGGGGAGAAAAGGAGAACAGTGGGGAGAGAGAGGGGGAAAAGGAAAGACAGTGAGGGAATGAGGGAGGAGGGGGAAGAGAGCAGTAGAGAAGCAGTGGGGGACAGAGGGGGAGTGAAGGAAAAGGAGAGACGGATGTCCAGATGAGAGGAAAGAGAAGGAGAGAGGGAGGAAGGAGTGAGTGCTTCTTTTATGTCAAGTGGAAACAGGAAGATTATTATTTTATATATTGTATTGCTTATATTGTAAATGCGTTTCATACAGCTAAAGAGTTCTGAGCAATTAAGGTGAGAGGCCTTGATGAAACAAGTGCCCCACCGCAGATTCCGACCTGTACCATTCTCATCATAAACAGTCCCCTACCCGGTCAACCACACCGCTACACAACTGGCAATTACTACTCACAGCTACTGTCTGTCATAGTTTAAAAGAAACAGATTTCACATGTTAAGTTTTACCATTTAAACCACAACAGTTTTCAAGCATTAAGACACCCTGGATAAGGGTATCTGTTGAATGATTATCATGACATGAGATTCATTTTCCTGAAGTTTTCAATAGGGATGATGGCCGACAATGTCAACCATCACAAAGACAAAAGCCTTCCTGTCCCTATCCTCTTCCAGTGTGTAGCTACCTCCACTCTCCCTTCAGCCTCTAAAATGGAAAGCATTAAAAAAATAAACATCTGGATGAGTTTTCATTATGAGAAAAGCTGGCTTTGCAGTGGTGTTCAGAGATGAGTACAATCTGAACTGCAGCAGATACATTCACTGTGTGTCTGTGGTAACAGCCCACACTTACCGTATTGTGGAAGTCTTCGATGGTGAACTCAGTGAAGCCCTGATTCACCAGATCCAGTTTGCTCTTGGCTGCCACTGCTTTGAACCTAAGGGGCCACCATACAGACAATCAAACCAGAGAACAGGATCTGAGCACTAATGAAGGCTCCCAGCATTTACATTCCAGTGCCACCATCAAGGACAGAACATCAGCCGTTTCATGGGCACAAGACACACTAGATCATGCAGCATATGCCTTTTTAATGAAGGGAAAAATACAGCCAAAAAGTACCCTGAAACACTAGACAACTAAACACGGCACAAGTTTCAACATTCACTCAAAACAACAGTTCCACTACCTTTAAGGAAACACCGATCCACTATGGGCAACTGAATTAAAAATCGACAGAAAGTATATCCATTCAACAGAATCTGGGAACTTGAATTTTTGAAAGCACCCCAGCTTGCATAACTGTGTGGCACAGAAAAACACCGTCCTTGAATGGCGACCCTTGTGGCACTGCCAGCCTTATTAACAGTGTGCAGTACCTGTGCCGTTTTCCTCAGTTTGCTTTTCATTCAAGCACCAGTGATTTTTTTCTTATCGACTTCTAACAGTTTCTGAAGTACACACAAACACATCCGGCATCTGCCAAACACATGAATAGTAAATGAACGGTGTGAAATAAAAATGCCAAACGACGATGGAAAGACGAGGCCTCACTTCTGTAGCTCTTTGCTGTCGTCCAGCAGGGACTCCAGGTGTGAGAAGCCGAAGGCTCTGTAGAAGCAGTTTCCGTCTGGTCGTGTCTTCCTAATATAGGAGTACTTTTTTTGCAAATCCTATGGGAGATGCAGAATAAGAGGTGTTTGACTCATTAACGTGAATATTTACCCTTACTTTCATTTCATTCTTTGACAAACATACTAATGATTTTAAATAACTCATTTTTAATTTTTACATAAATCCATTTTTTATGACACAGCTTTTTATGACACAGTGAATGAGATGTTATTGTGTTCACTCCAAGAGAAACTGGCTTTTTTCCCTTTACAGCTTAAATGGCAAAACCTGAATACCGTGGTTTGCAATTCAGAGATTTACATTTGATAAATGACAACATCTACTCCTACACATACATCGCAGTCACCTGCAAACACCTGTGTGTATGCAGGTGAGCTTACCTTAATCTTCATCTGATATACAGTATCTTCCTGTGCATACTCCCCCTTCAGCACAGAGAGGTCCTGTCTGTCCGACACTAGGGGGTTACTGGTGGCTATCTGCGCTCACGCACACACACACACACACACACACAAGAACATATTATTGGCATGTATCTGATAAATATTAAACATTGAAATCTATGCCATTCCTTCCCTTGTTGTTCCTAGAAAGCACTATGCATTTGATATTCTCTGTTTACTTACGTTCTGATCGAGAGCACCGGATAATGTTACACGTTATCCACTTAGAAAGCACGGCATTTACTGAGGCAATTAGGGTTAGGTACTTTGCCAAAGAGTTCCATAGTAGCACCCTTACAAGCCCTGCTGTTTACCACTACACCACACAACTCGATTATACTTGTATATTCGCACAATATTGCCAATGAAAGGTCTCTGATTGCACACAACCACTAGATGTATTAGTGTAACCCTCTCAATGTGCACACCCACAAGAGCTCGGTACGGGAGAAAGTGCATTCTTTGGAACCTTAGGGGCATAAATACCAAAGGGAGCTCTGTAGCTGCGAAAGACACTACAGCAGTACTCTGTGTGTACAGTCACTCATTACACAACACACAGCGACTACAACACATTTACTGATAACAATTACAGCAGTTATGTCATCTGCTGACAACAAGGCTAAATGTCCCTCCCAGCAATTCAGTTAGGCACCACTCACAATAACCATGACCAATCGCTACATGCTAATGGAATGGAACTGGCCAGCAAACCACAGTCAAGCTCAAACGATATCCGTCACAGTGTTATGAAGAATAGACTAAAACAACATGGAACTGAACATCTTAACTAAAGCAAAACAAGAATTTGTCTACTGCATGACAGTGTGACAGAGGTCAAATATTGAATGAGATGTCAAGAGAGGGATAACTTATTTGAAAATACAAAAAAGTGTAGCCAGATGTTTCATAAATGGTATCAGAACATAAGGGGGTGTGAAACAGAAAAGGTTGCTTGAAAACATGTGCAGCAACCACTGGCTCCGGTGCTTCTGTTGAGCATGTTATTAACCCTACTGAGAAAACTGCAATCAAATCGCACAAGGGGCTGCTGAATTATGGGTGTCCAAACTGGGGGAAAATCCTCTAGTGGGAAGGGGGGGTGCCCCTGCACCCATCAGCAAGGCGGGGGGCCTTGCCCTTAGCACTGTACAAGAAGCAGGAAATATCACTCATTATGAGGCGGGAGACCCTCTTGTCACCTCTCACTGTAATGCTACAGCCCTCATGGCCTCTGACTGCAGCACAATGAAACGCCATGTTGGGTTACTGTCAGTGCCATGGCATCTAGTGTAGCATAGTGGTACACATGGCGACAGTGTAGCATATTTACCTTGCCCGAGGGCACAGCAGCTGCACCCCGGCGAGGAATCAAACCTTCATTCACAAGCCCTGCTCGTTACCGCTACGCCACACTGTATCCAAACACTCTGCATCAGTAGCAGGC